AAATAAATAAAACCTTTAAAAAATAAAAACAGAAACAATACCGTTTATAATGACATAATTATGAAATTATCAAGGATAAATCTTAGAAAAATTGAAAGACTTGCACATGGAAAACTGCAAAGCATTTTAAGAGAAATTATTGAAAACCTGATTAAATAAATAGATATTGCTTGTTGATTACAATGTTTAATCAGGCAAAGGTAACAATTCTTCCTAAATTTTTCAGTCAGGAGCTGGTGCCAACAGTTCCTGGCCAAAAAAAAAGGACTATCCCTCACAAATAGGGACACAGAAATTGTTAAGAAAATATTAGAAAACAGAATATATATGTATATATTATACTATATATAACTGTATTCTGTTTTCTAATGTTTATATTATATTTTCTAATTATATACATTGAATTATTCTAATTCTATACATTTCTATTTGATATACATACACACACATATATATATATATATATATTCCAGGATGAAAAGGGGTTTTATTGCAGGGACGCAAAGACAGTTTTATATTCAAAAATCAATCAATTTAATATCATGTAACAAGCTAAAGAAAAAAAAACATAATCTTATCAACCAGTATGGAAAGATCATCTGACACATTTCAAAACCCATTCATGATAATGAACAAGAATTTATGAAGGAGAATTATACCAAAAAATTCTCAGAGAGTAAAACATAGGGGAGAACATCATAAGCTTGAGAAATAAATCTAGAAAACACCTACAGCTAACACACATGAAGGTGAATCCCTGAAAGCTTCCACTTGGAGTAGAGACTAAGATCGTCATATCCAATCTCACCATGGCCGTTCAGTACAGTACTAGATCCTCCAGACAGAGCCATAAGGCAGGAAAAATAATGAAAAGCACACAGACTAAAAACGACAAGAGAAAATTTCCTAGTTTCAGGGTAGAGAATGGTCCACATGAAAAATACAAAGAAACGACAAATATGTATATAAATATATAAACTCAAAGAGTAATAAGTAATACCAGGAAGGTGATTTGATACAAGATCAACACAGAAAGACCATAGATAGACAGATGTTGATATATAGGTATAGATAGCAATCACCACGTCAAAGCAGAATTAAAATATCATTATGCCACTCGACAATGACATATTTAGGTGCATCTTTAACAAAACACGTATAGGCCCCACTGTTGCTGGGAAAATGCTGAGCCTCCCCAGTGGAAGTGGGTGATCCCGTAGGTCCATGGATCAGGCTCTAGAACAGCTGACACCAGGGCCCATGGACACTCCTGTGAGTGGGTTTCCAGAGCCCACAGGTACTGAGTCTGTCCCCATGTCCCCTCAGACCCCACTGGAACTTTCCCATAATCCAGGGTGCCTGGGAAACATCCAGAATAGGAACTCCCCCACATGTTCACCTATCAGTCACCTGGGGAAGCTCTGATGGCCCCAGATACCAGGTCACCTCTTCTTACTCAGAAGCAGCAGAAACACTGGGTGTTCCCATAGCAATGGTACAAGGAATTCCCAGGCAGAGCCCCTGTATTGTGACCTAGGAGAGCAGTGAGGGACCACCCAGGATGTTCAAGCCTGGTGGTCCAGATCCAGGTGTGTTAGGAAAACCTCTTTAATCTCCTCTGGGCTCCAGCCCGAAGGGAGGCTGGTCATCAATTGCTGTAGAGCTCCACACAACCAAATGTCACAGGAGCTCCCGATTCATCAGGACTTGTGAAAATACACCCTCCACCTCTGCCCCAGTCTTATTCATCAGTCCTCTGTTCTTTCCGGGGACCAAAAACAGCTCAGACTATGGCTTCTAACTTTACATATTCTACTAAAACCAGAGGGTTTTAACATCTGGACTCATGTAAATGTACACTCATAAAGTCAATGAAAATAGCTCCTTTCGGAGGTATTGGTCTCCCAGTGCAAACGTGTGTTTGCAGAAGCAAAATGTCCTCCACAGTTGCTGGGTTGGAATGACAATGACTGTGGTAGTGCAGGATGTGTGACCCAGGAGAATCAGATGGCCCTCTGCCTAGCCCCCTCCATGTCCCCTGCTATAGTCTGGGCTTTATTTATAATTCCCTGAGCTCAGAAATCTTAAAGATACTCAGTTTCTCCCTTTCTACTGAGATTAGAGATTTTCTCAGCTCCTGAGATCCTAGGTGCTGGGCAGGGCCTCCCCAGTGAGCAGGTCTGAACAGACCCCTTACCAAGGAAGGTACAGAAATGACTATTACACATGTAATATGTCATTGGGGGATTACAAATTGAAATAGTGAGGTGCACTAGACCCCCATCAGCATGGCTAAAATTCAATACAATGACAGCTCCGACTCTGCCCGGGATGTGGGGCAGCAGGGACTCTCAGTTGTTGCTGGTGGGACTGCCAATGCCCCAGCCACTTTGGAAGATGCCTTGGCAGTTTCTCACAAACTTAAATATAATTTTATATAATACAATACTGAAATCACGCTCCTCGGTATTTTTCTATGTAAGTTACTTATGTCCACACAAGAATATGTTTATTGTTCATTTATTTACGATGGTCAGGATTTGAAGAAAATGTATATCGTTTAAAAGGCGAATGGGTAAAAATAGCCTGGTAGATTTTTACATCGAGTATGATTCAGCAATAAAAAGAGAGACGTGAGCGCGCTTGGGTGGCTCAGTTGGTTGAGCAACTGCCTTCGGCTCGGGTCATGATCGTAGAGTCCCGGGATCGAGTCCTACATCGGGCCTCCTGCTCAGCGGGAAGTCCGCTTCTCCCTCTGACCCTCCCCCCTCTCATGTGCTCTCTCTCTCAAATAAATAAAGAAATAAAATCTTAAAAAAAAAAAAAGAGAGAGAGACGTGAATAGGACACAGAAAAAGATTGAGGAGAACAACCATGAATATTTCCTTTTTTTAAAGATTTTATGTATGTATGTATGTATGTATGTATTTATTTATTTATGAGAGCTGGAGCAGGGGGAGGGGCAGAGGGAGGGAGAGAATCTCCAGCGGACTCTGAGCTGTTGGCTGAGCCAGAAGCATGGCTGGATCTCAGGAACCTGAGCTCATGACCTGCAGTGAAACAAAGAGTCGGACGCTTAACTGACTGAGCCACCCAGGCGCCCCCGTGCATATCTCTAAGTGACATTTCTAAATGGAAGAAACCCATCTGAAGAGGCTGAAACAGTGAGCAGTGGGGGATGGGGGGACAGGAGCCCTGGGCACCAGCTCCAGCCCTGGGTGGACATGTCTCTGGCGTCCACCAGAGGGCGCCGGTGCTCCCCGTTCCTCCGCGGAGATCTGTCTCCCTGCCTCTTGCAGGTGCTCTGGTGTCATCCCTGGGGTGAAGCCCTCCCCACTTGTACATTCTCTTTGGCTCAGCTGGAGCCCAGGCTTAAGTTGAGGGGGTGCTCGCCTGGCCCCCAGAAAGGGGCCGAATCGCGAGGAGACCCCTTACCCTGAGGATCAGGGAGACACATAGGAACAGTGTGTGGGTTCAGGGCCTCGCAGTAGGGTCAGCAGGAGACTGGGGTGTCTCTACCATGGGGTTTGCTTCTCTGCTCCTCACCCTCCTCACTCACTGCACAGGGGATTTCCAAATACTCCTGGGGCAAAACTACCCCAGTGTTATTTCCACTGGGTCAAATAACTTATTCTCCACTATGAGGAAGCCTTTCTTTAAATCCCTCTTATGCCACTCCATGGATGGAGCCCTGAGGAGATAAAATGGACAGATTGCTGTCCCTCGACAAGACCGGGCCTTCTGATTCAGCAAGTTGTTAACAGGTCTGTTTTCAAATGAGTCCTCTCTGCCTAAAATAAATCCTCTCCCCAAGAAAAGGTCTTTGAGACACTTGCCCTTTAAATCCAGATTCAACTTCATGGAGAACCATCCCTCAGGAGAAGACGGAAGAGAGACAGGGCGTCATTGCCTCATTTTTGGACACACACACACACACACACACACACACACAGCTATCTCCTCTCTCTGAGGGTATACTGTGCTACATTCTGCTGTTTCTGGGCTTTTCCATCCATCCAGAAGTCACGCTCAACTTGTGAGCACCCAGTCATCCTCAGAGTCACAGTCTCCAAGAGGCCGAATCCACATCCCAGGAAACCCCAGGGACAACCAGTGTGACTAACTCTAAGGTCATGTCACCAGGGCAGCCAGGACGTGCCCTGAACACCTGCTCTCCTGGGACCAGGCTGATGCTCAGGAATCCCAGGCGGAGTCTTTGTCCCCATGGGCAGCTCAGCCGCCACCACCTCTGGGCTCCAGTCAGTGTGGGAGGCGGATCAGTACATTGAATCTGGGACCCCAGCCTCAGGGCGGCTCCCACGGAGCACGTGGCCCATGGGGGCTGTGAGACACAAACCCCCTGCGCTCTCAGGGCTGGGCTGTCACTCCCTCAGTCACCCCAGGGACACCTCCAGCCAGGCTGGACCTCTGCTCAGTCTTCTGTCACAACTCAGAAGCACAGGGTCTGTGAGCTCAGGGCCACGGTCTTCCTTATCTGCACCTCTTCACCAGTCCCATGTGACCTTTGACAGAAACTTCTGGGTCCAAGTGGCTTTTGCTAATAGAAATTCATACTTCTGCTCATGGGGGTCTGAATGAGCCACTGCTCTATCCTGAACATGCTGGACACAGGCGGCTGACACTCCTGCTGAGCCCACCCCAGAGGCGAGTGTGGCGCTCGCTCGCTCCGTCCTGGAAGCTCTGTGTGTGTCTGGGGATTCCATCACCAGAGGGCTCGCAAGTTCACAGAAACAGGTCCCTCCTGGGGGGTCATGGGCACCACTTCCGGCTTTCCCAGCTGCACGACCAGAGCCACGATGCAATCTTAGGGAGAAAATAAGACGAATGCTTTCAGAAAATGTTTATAGACGTCTATTCAAATGAAAGCCAAAGTCATGCTTTTTCTTTGTTCTGCAGTGATGTATGTAACCACAATTTCCATCCACATTGTCCCTGCAACAAGCACGGATCTGGGAACCATATACTAGTGATCGCACCTGCATCTTCACAGTGGCACTGCCGTTGATCTTGAATCAGTATTAATGAGAAGAGTTTCTTGAAAAGAACATTCATGCCTTTTAAGTGCACGATTGGCCAAGTGGTGACCAGTACCTAACCCCTTCCTCTGGATTCTTGTTACGCAGCTGTCACTCCTTCCCTGCTAGAACTTCCAGCACGTTTGTCCTTTGTGCTCTGAGGTCAGGGCCACACACACTCACGTGGCAGGGCTCCTGCAGACTCGTGTCTGTGCTGGGAGGACGGAGCCGAGGAGGAATCCCAGACCCAGTGTGTGGAGAACTGTTGTTTCAAGCAGGAGAAACAGTGACAGGTGACAAAGATGCTCCGTGTGTGACCTTTCTGGGAATGCACACGAGGGCTTCTCCCACATTCTGGAGAAGCATTCTCCCTGGTCCTTCAGTACTTCAGGAAACCCAGGGAAGAGGAGTGCTGGGAGCCAGGGGGGATCATATAAGAGGAAAGTCCCAGCGCCCTGCACAGGAGAGGCCGTGTGTGCAAGGGGACCTGTCACTACTCTGGATTTGACCCTGACGTGAGAGGAGTTTGTATAGAGACGCCACCTCAGTCCTGAATGGTCCACGAGCAGCCAAGGGAGCCGTGGACACATTCACACCGAGGAATTGGAGTGAAGCATAGAATCTATGCCTCAGTGATGGGAGGTCATGTGACAGGACACACGTCCTGTTCTTAAAGTAGGAGGAGAGTGGACAGAGCTCTGGAGGCCGGAGCTGTGTCTGATGGGCACCGACCACCATGTCACACAATGGTGTGGCTGCTTCTGGAAACCAGAAGGGGTTTGAGGCTGATTTCTGAGGGGTGAGGGGTGATCAGAGCTGGGACCTACCACCTGGCGCTGCCTGTGGCCTCTGCTCAGGGCTCAGAGCTGTGACATCACCAGTCCCTGCCCCCACCGAGCCCCTACCCTGCCCACCCCCCTGACATCCTCAGGCAGAAGGACTGACCCAGAGTCGGTGAGGGGTCAGAGAGCTGGGGTCTCATTAGCACAGAGGGGCCCTCCCTCTCTCAGAGGATGAAGAGGGGGAGAGATTAGGTTAGGCTCTGCTCAGCTGGGGGACAGGAAGGCAGGGTGGGTGATGACCTCCACCATGGCCTGGTCCCCTCTCCTCCTCAGCCTCCTCGCTCACTGCACAGGTGACTGGATGCAGGGCCAGGGGAAGGGGCCTCAGATGCCATGTGGGCCCTGCTTCCTCCTCTTGTCTCTAGACTCCAGCATCACCCTCGGTGTGTCTCTCCCCCTTTGCAGGGTCCTGGGCCCAGTCTGTGCTGACTCAGCCGTCCTCCGTGTCTGGGGCCCTGGGCCAGAGGGTCACCATCTCCTGCACTGGAAGCAGCTCCAACATCGGTGCTTATTATGTGTACTGGTTCCAACAACTCCCAGGAAAAGCGCCCAGAACCATCATCTATGGTAATAGCTATCGACCCTCAGGGGTCCCCGATAGAGTCTCTGGCTCCAGGTCTGGCAGCTCAGGCACCCTGACCATCACTGGGCTCCAGGCGGAGGACGAGGCTGAGTCTTACTGTGCATCGTGGGAGGATAGTCTCAGCGCTCACACAGCGCTCCCGGCCTGAGGGGAAGTGAGACAAAACCCCACTTACTCATCTGTAAAGA